TTACAAATAACTCCTAAAACCTATCATTTTTACCAAGATCAACTCAACTTGAAAGAATCACGTAGCCCTAAAATTTTGGGCTGCATGCCTTCTGTATTTACCTATTTTCCAGCCATTTATGGCTTCATTATTTTTTCTCAACCAATCCCAAAGTCATACACAATATAAATTCATCCCAACAGCAGATCAATAGGCTCAAAGTCATTCAAGTACAAGATTTACCTAGGAAAATGACCGGAAATTAACTTTAATCTAAGAAACCAAAAAGGCAGATTCACCGCTACTTAGCGTATCGGACATAACCGAAGCTACGCTTATTGAATTGAAGTTCAAGTCATGCCATTTCGAAGCTAAGACAGAGGGCTATAACTTTGATGAAGACTACTTAGTCCAGTTCTCACCCTAACTAGGTCAAAGTTACCAAAACAACCCCAGATTCTCCAGTTCGAAGCTCACTGTGAAATTCAACTAGCAGTCCTAATTCATTCAATCATATCTCAGAACACACAACTCCGATTTAGGTAATTCCAAAGCCATTTGAAAGCTAAGATACAAATCTTTAATTCTTAAGAAGACATCAACAACCAATTTGGTAATATTCCTGGTCAAACTAATCAATTACAGAAGCTGATTATCAGTTTCGGACAGAAACAGGGCAGCAGAGGTATTTCAGTCTTTTCATAGGCTACGTTGCTCTGATTGAGCTGAAATTTTGCAGGAAACTATCAAATATCATTCTATACAACTTTCATGTTTTGTACTAAGGCCAATTCGGCCGCTAACTAGGGGTAACAGTACCGGGCAGAATAGGGAAAATTGAAACGCTAATCTGGAATTTTCCGCACAAAGTGGAAATTTTCCGCAATTAGCTACAATTTATGCACTAATGTTTCATTCTAGACTATCCCAAGCCATCATCCATTGCCACACAATACTAAACATATAAAAACAGAAAAATCAAGAATAAATATAAAATTCACCAATCTCTACCAAAAGTCAAGAATTCTTCCACAAAATCACTTATTCAACTACTATCAATCACTAATTGAACATTATCAAGATCAAAGGAAAGATTCCTTAACCACTCACCTTATAAACTCAAGAAAGGAAGCAACTTAGCACCTTTGCTCCTCAAACCACTTCACCACTCACCTTAATCCTACCAAGGGAAAGGGTTTTATGGAGCAAATTAAAGTTTTAACGGTTGGTTTGTGAGATCAAGGCAAGAAATTGAAGAAAGAAGTTGGAAGTTTTCTCTTCTTTTTCCTCCAAGAAAGTCGGCCAAGAGAGGGAGAAATAAGATAATTTTTGATCAATTTTTGGTTATGTAAGAAAGGTGATACAATGGTCAAAGTCCAAGATCAAGTAAGATGGTGACACTTGTCACATTTTAAGCTTAAACTTATCCTCTTGTCTCTCCAATACTAATCCATCTATATAGCCTCCAATTATCTCTTAACACCTAGTAAATAAATTCCGGTATACTAAACTTAACATAATTGGCCGAATTTACCACACTTAACGCACTAGCGGGTCCCACATCCACCATACATGTCCAATATCTCATGAGCTTACTTATACTAGAAAAATGTTTTAAAAACTATATTTACTTATAAAAATAGCACCAAAATAAATATAATAACAAAAATATAGAAAACGTGTACAACGAAAGAAAGATAATGCCTAGAAATTAAAAAAAAAAATTTTTTGGGTTCTCACAAAAGGCCTTAGTTCAGGATGTCCCAACTAGATGGAATTCTACTTATAAGATGCTTTCAAGTGCTCTTTATTACCGTCTTGCCTTTTGCCACTTACAATTAAGTGATTCCAAGTTTCAATGCTCTCCATCTTCAGAAGAGTGGGAAAGAGTTGAAAAGATTTGCAAATTTTAGAAATTTTTTATGATGCAACCATGGCCTTCTCAGGATCCAAGTATCGGACTGCTAAATTGTACTTTCCTCAAGTTTTTTGTGATTCAATTAAAGCTATTGGAGGAGTGTAGCAGTTTTGATGGCTTTATGAAGAAAATTGTTGAACAGATGTTTATGAAATTCAACAAATATTGGTCTGAGTTCAATATTTTGTTAGCCATTACTATGGTATTTGATCCTAGATACAAATTTCAGTTTCTTGAGTTTAGTTACCAAAATTTATATGGTCCGGGGTCTGCAGAACTAACAAAGGTCATGGATACACTTTTTAGTCTCTTCAATGAATATGTTAGAGTTAGTAAGAAATCTCAGTCATCATCTTCCTATTCTTGGGGTAGCAATGAGATGAATGAGACCTCTTTTGATGCAGTAGAAGAACAGGGAAAACAATCATTGAATGTTTTCAAGGTGTGATGATAATTTTTTTTAGTATTATTTACTTATTAATTTATATTCTCCCATGTTCTGTTCCCATTTTCATGTCTAATATGTCTCTCTTTCAATGTCATGTTCAATACGAATTTGATAAATTTGACAGTTTTGAGTTTATCAGCAGTGCACAAAAAACTCAATTGGAAATGTATCTAGATGAGCCAAGAAGTAAAAGAAAATCTGAGATTCATGTTCATGACTATTGGAAGTCTCAACGATATCGATTTCCGAATATAGAAAAATTAACTAGAAATATCTTATTTGTTCTGTATCAATTGTTGCATCAGAATCTGCTTTTAGCCTTGGTGGTAGAATTCTAAACCAATTCCATAGTTCATTGTCACCACCAATAGTTGAAGCTTTAGTATGTACTAAAAACTGGTTGTTTGGGGAGAAAGGTAAAATTAGTAAATTGATGTTTTCTGATATCTACTTTGTTTCTTTAGTATTTTATACTCATTTTAATTTTCTTCTCTTGTTAATGCAGAGATGACAGATTTGAGGCTGGAGGATATAACTCAAGACATCATGTCTTTGAACATATCAAAGGTAATGCCCAATTTGTTGAAGATTCAAACTCTAATGTGGTCAACCTCTAAGTCATTGACTTAGGTAAGTTAAAAGTTATAGCATAATATATTTTATTGTACCTATATGTGTCACCATTAATACTTTGATGTTTAAATTTCAGGGGACTAAAAAATTGCTCGCATCCCTTGATTTAGTGAAGATTGGAAGTTGGAAAAGGAGTATCAGTTGACTATTTGAGCTTGGAACCTGGACCAGTGATTATGTTTCAATTTTATGTCTATTTTGTTGCTATTTAGTGTTTGTGCCTTGTAGCCTTTGGGATTTGATGATGAATTGATGATATTGGGACTTGTTATTATCTTATTTTTTTTAGATTTCATGGCTTGTAGCCAATTGGATTTGATAATGATATTGGAAGTTTGAACTTGTGATTACTAATTATCAACTTATGTTATGTCTTTTTATGTCCTAGTCATTTGGATTTATATTATGTTTGATGATTGCCTATTGTGTATGATTGCTCATTTGCTTGAATGGATTTATGAATTCCGATGGGCATTTGACATTGCTGATTATTGGAGGTTATTAGTCTGATTAGTAGTAGTTCTGTGCTTCTATTTTAGGTGGTCAACTTATCATTAATTTGGTAACTTAAAACAGATCAGGTTTGGGTGACCCGTGAACATTGTGATTCGTGTTCAGGTCAAGAGATTTAACCTGATAAAAAAAGGGGTCGTGTTTGTGTTTGTGAGTTGTCTAGAATACCCATGTCTCAACCCGACCCGCCAACCTGTAACCTGACTTGATTGCCACCCCTATGTTAAAGTAATGAAGATAATTTTGTGAATTCATGTGTTATGATGGTAATTAATGATCTCATCTTACTGATATGGAAGTTGAGTGAAATATTTGAAACTTTAAAGATACCAAATGATATTATCATAAAGCTCAATGGAGGTTTTTGAAATTATTGTTAGCCAAAAATGAAACGTATACCTTTTTACAAGATCGAGGGGTAAATATATGCACTTAATAGTTGAAAAGTTAAAAGTGACCAACTATATAGTTTGAGGGGCATTCAAATTTTTTACACCCAAAAAACAACGATGCAAAAAGCAATCGTTAGGAGATCTACAAAAGCGCCGCACCCTCACAACTTGATTAGTTCAAGAAAAATGGAAGATAAACGAAGTCATTGTACAATCTCCAACTAAGAAGTGCAGTATGTGTATTTCTACATATTATAATAATTATTTGATCTTCGAATTCAAGGCAATACTCAAAAAATGCTTTTCTCCTTCTTCATGTAAGACATGGTCCAATGCGTATTCGTCTCTTTTTTTTTTTTTTGCCGAAACGTTAAGTGATTTTATAGATAAAAAACCTTTACAGATTCAAGTAAAGACTTGAGAGAACTTTACAACCAGTGTATCCTAACACTGAGGAATCCAAAATTCCTGATCTTCGATGAATTCTAGCGCTTGCGCGCTAATCCAGTGACTTATATGGTTAATATTCCTATGTACTAAAAAAAATGAGCACATGCGAAACAAGGACTTAAGGCTATATATATCCTCCATCAGAGTTGCCATTCGCATTTCCTGAGGTTTCCTTTGCTAAATGAGATTGTACGTTAGCTTGTTCTGGATTTGCACTTCAATGCTTTCCATTTTTTGGACAGCAGCTTTACACATCAGTAGTTTGATGGCTGTTAGTTCGTCCATTACCTGGTGACCAGAGCTTCTTTCCTGTAAAGTCCATCCTCTTATCATGTTTTGATTGTCCACTGAAACAGTGACGCCTATCCCAACTTGAGGAGTGTCTTTACTCTTTTCTGTTGCAAATCTTAATCTCAGGGTGCTTTCAAATTCTTCCTAATGCTGGGGGGATTCCGTCTGCTCCCTTGTTTCTTCTGTACTCGTGCTTGAGGTCTTTGTCAATGCTTCTTCATATTCCAGCCATTCCTCATGAGCTGTCTGTATTGTTTTCATAGGTGAGTGCTGCTTGACATTGAATTCCTTCTCATTCTACTTTTCCAGATTTGCCAAAGGATGTTAGCTGTTAGGGAGATATGTTTGCTATCCTCACTTCTAGTGCTAGCTTCCATCATTGTAGTCCACCACCTACGGAAACATCCCTGCTGGTCTTGTATTCCTTTCCACTGAATTGGTGACATTTTCCACACTAGTTTGACATGGTTGCAGTTAAGCAAGGCATGCTCTATCGTCTCACCTTGCTCACCACAGATTCTGCATATTGGATCACCTTGTTTGGTTCTATCATAGATGAGTTGTCTTACTGGTAACACCTGGTTCAGGCATTTCCACAAGAAAATCTTCACCTTATGCTTGATGTTCAGTTTCCAAAGATGCTTCCAGCTTTTCTTACTATTCGAGCTCCAGCTTGTTCCAATTGTCTTCGTGTCTTCCTGCTCTCGTTCCATTTGGCCTTTAGATTGTATACTATAAGCTAATCTCACTGTATAAATCCCATTGAAACTATGAATCCAGTAGTTGTTGTCCTCTCTATTGGCCAGGCTTATGGGGATGCTTAGTATCATCTCTGCGTCCTTGGGGCAAAAGTTTCTGAATATCAGATTTTTATTCCATCTGTTCTGGATGATCAGCTCCTCTACTTTGACCAGATTACATCCCTGTGGTTTCTGTGTGGTAACCTTTCCCTGATGGTTATCTGGCATCCAGCTTTCCTCCCAAATATAGGTACTCTTTCCATTTCCTATCCTTCTCCTTGTTCCTTGCTCTATCAATTGCCTTGCTCCCATTAGACCCTTCCAAATCCAGGATGCGTTCCTAGCTACTTTGCACTTGAGAAGCAATTCTTTGGGATGGTATTTGTCCTTGAGCACTTTGCTAACCAGCAGATTTGGCTATGTGAGTAGCCCCCATACTTGCTTTCCCAATAGCGCTGTGTTGAATGCCTCTAAATCTAGGAATCCCAATCCTCCATCCTTCCTGTCCATTGATATTTTACTCCAAGATCTCCAATGCATCTTGTTCCTTCCAGTTGCCTCTCCCCACCAATAGTTTGCCATTACAGCATTAATCTCTTTGCATATCTTCTTTGGCATTTTGAAGCATGACATCGTATATGTTGGCATTGCCATTGCTACTGATTTGAGCATCACCTCTTTACCTGCCGCACTTAACAGCTTGTTTTTCCATTTCTTCAGTCTTTGCTGGATGTTGTCTTTAATGTAGCCAAATAGTTGTTGTTTCGACCTTGTGATCACCATTGGGAGTCCCAGATACTTGCCTTGGTTGACCTTCTGAATATTTCCAAGTGCTTGGCAGACTTCCATCTTAGCTTCCTGCTCCAAATTCGTGCTGAAGATGATTGAAGATTTTTAAGTTGATCAGCTGGCCAGTGCCTCTTCCATACAGTTGGAGTATCCGTCTCAATTCTGATGCATTCTGGTAGTTAGCTTTGCAAACTATGAAAGAGTCATCTGCAAAAAACAAGTGAGTTAGTCTAGGTCCTTGTCGACTGATCCTCATGCCTTCAATTCTTTGTTCAGCTACTGCCTTTTGGAGGAGATTGGTGAAGCCTTCTGAGCAAAGCAGGAATAGATAGGGTGACAGTGGATCTCCCTGTCTAATTCCCCTCTGGGGTAACACATATTCCTTCACCTCTCCATTGATCATGAAAGAATAGGAAACAGATGAGATGCATTCCATGATCCAGCTCCTCCATTTGTCATTGAATCCCATCTTTTGCATTACAGTTTCCAGGAATCTCCATTCTACCCTGTCATAAGCTTTTGACATGTTTAATTTCACAGCCATAAAACCATTTTTTCCAAGCCTTTTGTTTTTGAGATAATATAGAAACTCATGGGAAATCATAATGTTATCTAAGATTTGCCTACCGGATAAAAGCTGATTGATTTTTACTAATGCATGAATGAAGAACAGGTTTCAATCTATTAGCTAAGATCTTTGCTATAATTTTATACACAGTTGTGCACAGGCTGATGGGTCTATAATGCTTGAGGGATGTGGGAATCCTGACTTTGGGAATAAGAGAAACAGATACTATTGCTGACAGTTGTGCACAGTTGTATTCGTCTCTTAAATACTTGATAATCAAGTTGATAAAGATTCCAAATCCACATCTGATACTATTGCTTTAACAAAGTGAGAAACACAACATCTTGGTTAACTAATCCAAGAATCATTAAGACAAGAAATAAAGACATTAAGGTTTCCGATGGGAAGTAACATAAGAGAGGGGGAAAAAAGAAACAAGAACCAACTCGGGCATTATATGTTTGGGTAAATGACGCTAGTGGTCCTTGAAATTTTACCCATCTTCCTCTTTTGGCCATTTTCTTTGAAAAGCACCTACGAAGTCTTTTCACTTGTATTTTAGTTCTAAACGATCCCTCCACAACAAATTCAAGGATTTACTTTTGCCTCCCTGAGATTTGATTAATGTTTATATCCCTGTTTCAAGTTTTGAATAAAGAATATTAGACCTCTGTGATGTTGTTGTTAAAAAATCTTATCGATTTTTGTTTTGATCAGAAAAGGAAATTTTATTACTGAAATTGCTGGAAGTCATCCAAATCCAATTGGTTTACAAAATTTAGAGTAGAGTTCCATAAGGAATCAATTAAAGTATCCGATTTGGTTCATGATGCAAGCTTTATATTCTTCTCAAAAAAAATTAAAGTACCCGTTTTGGCACAATGAGCAAGAGCATGAGCCACTTTATTCAATTCCTTTGGACTAGATTACATTTGCAACATTTAATTCTAACGTAGTAAATCTTATATCATCAACCATTAGACCAATTGCAGACTGGTCTTGAACCTTTTGAAATAAGATATTGATCACTGACAGGGAGTCACCTTCAATAGAAAAAGTTGGAATTAGCAAAAGCTTAGCAGAGATGACAGCTTCTCCCACAGTGCTAGCTTCAACAACTTCAACTTCTAAAACTCCATAGTATTGTTTTACAAGCCCTACTAGAAACTCTTCCACATGATTGCATATTACAACACCAACACCAAAACCTCCATAGCCCCATCAAAATTTACCTTGAAATTGAATTGATGGATAGGAGGGGCTATGCAACATGGAGGGTGAGACTACCATAATACGATCATATTTCACTTGTAAATATTTATATGAACTATAAATGATGGTAGAAGTCCTTTCTTAACAACTTTAATTTATTGACTTTTTGTCTTAGGATGCATCTGTGGTAGGAACTGTACTTTTATTCATCACAGTGGGTAAAGACTGTCGGTTGCACAGAATTTCGACGTCAAAGCAAATTTAAATTAGGGACGCGGGACTGGAGCGGTTGTCAGAACAATCGTTTTGGAAGGTGTAACACCATTTGTACATGGTGTAACATTATCTGTACAAGGTGTAACAATTGAACAACAGCGAGTAAAATAGAACAACATTTTTGTAGGTCCCACACGACGTGAAAATCGAGTTACAAGATATGATTTGAGCCGCACAAATTTTTGAAGTTTCATTCTGGCCGTGAACTGCCTGGAACGGTTGTCTCTGACAACCGTCCAGGCCCCTCGTCCTTAAATTAGTGGGGTGTCAGCCGACAAGGCTTGCAAAGCTTCGACGCGTGGCACAGGGACAAGACACGTGATGTCAAGAAGTAGACAACATACCGATTGTCAAAAGTGGCGGGGCGCTGTAAATGAAAGAAAACGAGGGACAGAGTATGAGAGTCAAGTCATATTGGCCAACTGCTACCATATTGACCGCATATGTTTGCTTGATAAAATGTCCAATTTTACTTCTATATTAGTCATTTTCAGTTGCTCAATTATGAAAGCCAAGTGATATTGGCATAAAAAGAAAAAAAAAAGGGCTTCATCAACCCCACTTCTCATTATTAATGATATAAACACTCATAATTTAGATTATCCAACAATTTTCAATGCTGAAAGCACTCTCAGGGCATATTTAATGATAGTATTTCATTATTTTTTATGGAGACCTCTGTATCGTTGGCTACAATTTTTATTTTTATTTTTAGAAAAAAGCAAACTCCAACATAGCTTAAAGTTGTACATTTCCATTTTAAAAATTTGAATAAATATAAAAGTAATACACAACTCCAAAACAAAAAAGTCTAGTACTTTAGTCAAGGATTATTAAACAATTGATCATCACTATTACAAATTTGCTCCATTATTAATTATATAACAATTTAAAACTAATTTAAGAGCAAGAAAGACTAAGAGAATTCAATAAATAAAGTAGAAAAACTTACTAGTAAATATATAGATGCACAATTTCGTCTCTTTGTATATCTTGTAGTTGTTTTATCATTTCATTGAGTGAAAAAAAATTGATGATGTGTTTGGAACTCTTTTTAGAAAGCCCATATTATTTACATTATGAAATCACATTGCACATACATTGCCTATTAAAGTTGCTCAACAATGCATTATGACGTGCACGGGATATACATATACAATTAAACTCATCCACAATTTAGTTTTACATTTATAAATTCAAAAAATCCACACGCGATTTTTCGCAAGTATACGAATCGTTTATTGAGCATAGGGGTATTAGGTGTCAATCACACAATAAAGATTTCAATTACCGGTGTTTTTCGAACCCCTTTATTATCTAGACTATCATAAATATAAAAATAATGAAAATAACACTAGAAACCTCCTAGAGGTATAGAATTCCTTACTACTCTTACAAATGAAATTACCGGTTAAGTGAATGCTATTATCTTGGCTAGTTATGGCGTAATTTTTGCATGTACGTGAAACCTGCTCTCGTAGTGAATCAACTATACTTATAACTAAACTATACCTACTCTCGTGGTTATGAATTAACTACAAGCTCATTTTTTCTATGAAATTACATGACACAAGTCATTAAAGCCACATAGGTGCACCCCTACTCTTGTGAGTGTGCTCCCTAGGTTTATCACTTTCTTGAACTAGTGTTAAATTCCAATTCTCATTGCAAATTTAACACCTTTAGATAATCACAACTAATGACCGGTTAATCATGATTAGAAAAGTAAAAGTGATAAATAACTTGCTCAAAATAATATAATCAAATAACCAAGTAAACATCACAAACAAGAGATAGCAAGTTCATCCATAACTCTAGGCATAAACTTTAACTAAACATGAAGAAAATAAAAGAAAGATCCATACTTGTGTTATAACTAAATATAAGATGCAATACAAGAAATAAAGTGATATGAGAATTGTCACCCATGTTACTTGAGCTCCATGCTCTCCATCTTCATCTTCAACTTCATCTAAGTTTAGCTACAAATACAAGAAGGAAACATTACACTAACTACTCTATACTACCCTCACTAATGAACTAAGAAAAACTAGTAAAAACTACATTTTTGTGGAGTTTTTCTCTAACCTTCCAAAGTTTTTAAAATGTCCTCCAAAGGCCTCTATTTATAGAGGATTCAAGAGCCAAATGAGTTGTTTCTAATTATCATTTTTGACTCTTGAAACTTCCACGAGTTGTCTCTCAAACTTTTCAACCTTTTCTTGATCAGATATAGCCGAAATTACTAGCTGGAATTGACTTGAAAAAGTTGTGTGAAAGCAGGGCAAGTTGATGAGCAAATTGCAGCAATCAGGTGAGAATACGCGACTTCAACTACGTATTCATGAGTCACACTTTCAATTCTGTGCATTTGACACCACTTCAACTGTCATTTGCTCGATGATGGAGGCTGAACTAGCTCTTGTGCAAAACATGAAAGTTGTAGCTCTTTGAGTTAGCTTTCCAATGCCTCAAGAATCATCTAATTTGGAGCTCTGTGAACCGAGATATGATCAAAATACCATCAACTAGTCAGAGTTCTGTTTCAACTTACGACAACAGAGTTGCATTTCTGTATTTCGACTTTTTGACTATGAAAACGACTAAAATGGACTTCGATGTCTGCACACCAAATGTAGATCTATCTCTTAGCTTCAAAATGGTATAAGAATCACCTCAATCTGATCATTGTATCTCAATAGATAGCTGAAATGCGAAAATGTGTCAAAGCTATGAAACTTGCTTTTCTTTTGCTCTTGATTGCATTCCCTCTTTTGCACTTCATATTCTCTTTTTATCACTTTAATCCATCATCAATCATCCAATTATCTTCTCAATGGACTCTATTTGATGATTGAATCCTTAAACCTAAAAACATGAAGTTTTTACCATAAAAATACAATTTTTACCATTCAAACCACAAAATGTATATTTTCACTAAAAACTTAGTTAATTAGCTATAAAACTACTTAAAACACACTAAAACTAACTAATAAAACATACT